TAGATGGACCAGGCTATATCCTCTGGTCTTTGGAGGTGAGCTATATGAGGACCCTCAAGACTTTATGATTGTTGCAGGGAAAGACTGCACAACATGAGGATATTAGAGTCCCACGGGGTGGACTTTACCACCTTTCAACTGGAGGGCAGGGCCCGTAGATAGCGGTAGTCCGATCTTCTTGGCGGGCCATCCGGTTCTCCTCCCTTATCGTGGGACCAATTCCCATGCCTCTTTTTGGATAGTTATATTTCACCCTCTTCGAGGGAAGAGCTGTGATTTTAGTTCAAGCAGCTTCAATAGGGTTAGATGTCGGTGACTTACTATGAGCCGATATTCTATGAATCGTCTCACCATGCACTTATGATACTCCCTACCGATGCAGAGAGAGTGCAGAGGTTTGTTGCAGGTTTGCACTCTAGTATCCAGGGCACTATGTCCTGAGAGGTTGAGATAGGGACCTTTTACGGGTTGGTTATGGAGATAGGTCAAAGAAACGAGGGTGTTCGTTAGCGGAGCTGAGAGCAGGTGTCGAAGGACAAGTGATTTCGATATTTTAGAGGGTTCAGCGGTGTTCCGGCTGAGGGCAGAGGTTAGTTTGTGAAGGGTCAATCTAGCAGGCCCACGTATCCAACACTGCCACCTCCTCGTGGTACTCTAGTGCGGCCTTATTTCAGTGCCATTCCAGAGAGCTTCTACCATCTACCAACTATTCAGGGTTTTTCTAGTGGGTATTTAGTCCATCAAGGTCAGAAATCAGGTCAGTAGTCCATCGTTGAGAGGTTGTTTCGAGTGCAGGGATCTTGGTCATGTGAGGAGGTTCTACCCTAGGGTTCGGGGCAAGGTAGTATAGCAGGGTCAGGGTCCTCAACCTATGATTATAGCACCAGCTACTACACCAATCGTCTGGCTGCCCAGAGGCGGGGGGTAGGCAAGTAGGGGTCGTCCTAGAGGTGGAGGCCAGTTAGGTGGCGCTCTAGTCAGGTTTTATGCCTTTCCAGCTAGACTAGATGAAGTAGACTCAGATGCCATGATCATAGGTATTATTTCTGTCTGCAGTAGGGATGTTTCGGTACTATTCAACCCATGGTCTACATATTCATATGTTTTATCTCTGTTTTCTCATTTTTGGGTGTTCCTCGTGAGTCCTTGGGTACTCATGTATATGTGTCCACGTTAGTGGGCAATTCTATTGTTGTAGATCGGATCTACTAGTCATGTATCATGACTTTTTATGGATATGATACTAGAGAGAATCTTCTATTACTCGATATAACCGGCTTTAAGGTCATCCTGGGTATGAACTGGTTGTTTCCATATCATGACATCCTTGATTGCTATGCCAAGGTTGTTACCTTGGCAATGCTAGAGTTTTTTAGATTGGAGTGGAAAGGTTCATTTGTTAGTGCATCTAGTCAGATTATATCTTTAATGAAGGATTAACACATGGTTGAGAAGGGTTGTTTGATGTATCTAGCGTATGTTCGGGATACTACTATAGAGAATCTAGTGATTGATTCAGTGCTCGTGGTACGGGAGTTCTATGATGTGTTTCCTTCTGATCTACCAAGCATGCCTCTAGATCGTGATATTGATTTTTGTATTGATTTGGCTCCAGGTACCCAGCCTATCTCTATTCCACTGTACTGTATGGCTCTGAAAGAGTTGAAGGAATTAAAAGAAAAGCTTGAGGAGTTGCTAGCAAAGGGGTTCGTTAGACCGAGTGTGTCGCCTTAGGGTGCACCGGTGTTGTTCGTGAAGAAGAAATATGGGACTATGCGGATGTGCATTTATTACCTCCAGATGAGCAAAGTTACCATTAAGAACAAGTAATCGTTACTGTGTATTGATCATTTGTTTGACCAATTGCAGGGTGTTTGCTAAGATTGACTTGAGATCGGGGTATCATCAGTTGAAGATTCGTTATTCGAATGTTCCGAAGATGACTTTTCGGACTAGATATGACCACTATGAATTTCTGTGATGTCCTTCGACTTGACTAACGCCCTGATGGCATTTATGGATTTGATGAAATGTGTGTTCAGGCCATGTATTGACTCGTTTGTCATTGTCTTCATAGATGACATATTGATCTACTCAAGTAGCATGGAGGAGCAGGAGCAGCATTTGAGAGTGGTGCTTCAAACATTGCGAGAAAGTTATATGAGAAGTTCTCCAAGTGCGAGTTCTAGTTAGATTTTGTGGCATTCTTGGGGCATGTTGTATCAGGCGAGGACATTAAGGTAGATCCTAGGAAGATCGAGGTAGTTTAGAGTTGGCCTCGTCCTACCACGACGACTGAGATCAAGAGCTTTTTAGGGTTAGCAGGTTATTATCGCCGGTTTGTGGAGGGCTTCTCATCTGTTGCAGCACCTTTGACTAGATTGACCCAGAAGGGTGCTCTGTTCCGGTGGTCTGATGGTTGTGAGGTGAGCTTTCATAAGCTCAAGACCGTATTAACTACAGCATCGGTGTTAGTATTACCTTCCGCTTCAGGGATATATACTAGGTCTTGCGACGCTTCACGTGTTGGCTTAGGTTGTGTGTTAATGCAAGAGGGGCGAGTTATTGCATATACTTCACATCAACTGAATCCCCACGAGAAGAATTACCTCGTGCATGCTTTGGAGTTGGCCGTGATAATTCATGCTCTCAAGATCTGGAGGCATTATCTTTATGGGGTGTCCTGTGAGATTTACGCCAATCATCACAACTTGCATCATTTGTTCAAGCTGAGGGATCTCAATTTGAGGCAACGCAGGTGGCTTGAGTTACTAAAAGGTTATGATATTACCATCCTTTATTATCCAGGCAAGGCGAGCGTTGTTGCGGATGCTTTGAGCATAAAGGCGGAGAGTATGGGTAGTTTGGCATTCATTTTAGTAGAGGAGAGGCCATTAGCTTTAGACATTTAGTCCTTGGCTAACAGACTTGTGAGGTTGTATATTTCAGAGCCCAACCGAGTTCTTGCATTCATCGTCGATCAGTCTTCATTATTCGAGTAGATCAAGGCTCATCAGTTCGATAATTCGCACTTGTTGGTTCTCATAGAGACAGTACTACAGGGTGGTTCCAAGGATATTACTATCGGTGAGGATGGTATTCTGCGACTCCAGGGTCGTCTATGTGTTACTAAAGGTGTTCGGCACACTTCATTCTAGTTGTAACTACGTATTATTCAAAGATATTGGCCCAGATTTACATTTAGGAGATTGTTCAGCTGCATGGTGTTCCTGTTTCCATCATATTAGATAGAGACCCTCAGTTTACTTTGCATTTCTGGAGAGCAGTACAGAGTGATTTGAGGACCTAGGTAGAGATTAGCACAACCTTTCATCTATAGACCGATGGGCAGTCAGAGCAGACGGTTCAGATCTTGGAGGATATGCTCAGAGCATCTGTGATTTACTTTGGAGGGTAGTGGGATCGATTCTTGCCTTTGGCTGAGTTTGCTTATAATAATAGTTATTAGCCCAGCATCGAGATGGCTCTATTTGAGGCTTTATATGGTCGGCAATGTCGTTCACCAATTGGATGGCTTGAGCCCGGAGAGGCTAAGTTATATGGTACTGATTTGATGAAGGATGCCTTGGAAAAGGTAAAGTTGATTCAGGAGCTACTTCACACAGCACAGTCTAGACAGAAGATTTACACGGATCAGAAGGCGTGTGATTTATCATTTATGGTGGGCGAGAAATTTCTCTTGAAAGTCTCGCCGATGAAGGGAATCATGAGGTTTGGGAAGAAGGGAAAGTTGAGAACAAGGTTTATAGGTCTATTTGAGGTATTGAAGTGAGTTGGGGAGGTTGCTTATGAGCTTCCTTTTCCTCCCAATCTATCGGGAGTTCATCCGGTTTTCCACGTGTCTATGCTCAAAAAGTATCATGTCGATAGGTCATATGTGTTAGACTACAGCACGGTTTAGCTAAATGAGAGCCCGGGTTTTGAGGAGGAGCTAGTTGCCATTGTTGACAAGCAGGTTCGCCAGTTGAGGTCCAAGAAGATTTCTACAGTAAAGGTCTAGTGGAGGGGTCAACCAGTCGAAGAGGCAACTTGGGAGACCAATGAGAACATACGGAGAAGATATCCACACTTATTCGGCACTCCAGGTACGCTTCTGGACCCGTTCGAGGATGAACGTTTGTTTAAGAAGTGGATAATGTAATGACCCGACCGGTTGTTTTGCTTTCTAGATTCTTGTTTCCCTAATTAAGATTTTTCATATGTGCTTTTACTGTTTTATGACTTGTGGGGATGGTTAGTTTGGGTTTTGAAGGGTTCGAGTTGGAAATGGAACACTACTTCCTTATTATTAGCTTAAAATGGTTAAGTTTTACTTGAGTCAATGATTTGAGTAAATGACCTTGGAAATGGGATTTGACGATTCCAATAGGTTTGTATGATGATTTTGGACTTGGGCATATGTTCGGATCGGGTTTCAGATGATCCGAGAGCATTTTGACACTTAATATTGAAAGTTAGCGCATTTAAAGATTTTTAAGTTCTTTAAATTTGGTTTGAAGTAGGATTTGGTGTTATCAAGATCCAATTGGGATTCCAAGCTTGGGAATAGTTTTGTATGGTGATTTAATACTTACACGCAAAATTTGGTGTCATTTCGAGTAGTCTAAGTATGATTCGGTGCGTCCGGAACAAGTTGAAAACTTGAAGTTCATAATTTGATTCAATTTGGTTTTGGGATGCTATTTTTAGTTTTGATTTTGTTTTATGATTTTCGAGAGTTCGAGAAGGTCCGTATTATGTTTATGAACTTGTTGGTGTAGTTGGACAGGGTCTCGGTAGGGATGGCAATGGGCCGGTGCGGGGCGGGACGGGGCATGTTTGAATGTTGGTGGGGCGGTGCAGGTTTGAGAATTTGCGGTTACGGGGTGGGTTCAATCTTTTAATTAAAAAAATGCATGGCAGGGCGGGCCGCGGGTTGGGATTTAATTTTTTTAAACTAATAGACATAAAGACTAAATATTAAAACCCTAGTCCAAATTTCTCTCTCTTAGTCTCTTACGGCTCATCTCTCTCAGACTCTCTTTAGTCCTCTCTCAGTCTTGCTCGATAATCAGAGAAATTTACGGCAACTTTCAATTGTGAAGGTCATTATTCTGTGGTTTATCAAGGATTGTGAGTCCCTTTTCATCTTTGAATTATATTTCTCACTATAGCTCCATTTTCTGGTTCTAGTAATTTTGAATTAAGTTTTTGGGCTTTATCTTTGTTGTGAAATTCCTATTTAATTTTGGGTTAAAACTTTGCATTTTTTATTTTTCTATGAGAAATTATATCAAATACATTATGGGCATTAGTGATAAAGACTGACATTTCCTTCTTTAAGGTTGTGTAGAGAAGGCCAAGATAAATATAAATCCAAGTAGACCATTTGTATAAAGCCAATGGAATTGATATTTCTCTGAACTTGGGTCATTGAATTTAGGAATGTGGAACTTGTTCACTAATTCAACATGTTTCTGTTGCACCATATTTTTTGATATAAAGATGAGTATAATTAAAATTATATTTGATATAAAGATGACTGATGTATATATGCTTATAGCTAGTCAATCAGTACTCCTTACAAAGAAAAGGTTTTCTTTTGTATATGACTTTTTCCATTGATGAGTGGCACTAGTTTTACAATACATGCCTCAGTAAAATAGTTGCATAGTTCTGTTTTATTTCATTCACTAATACTGCTAGTCAAACTGCAAGCTCTGTTGCAGATTCATATATGTTGTTATCTTCTAATATTGGCTTGTTTCATAAAGTTGAATGAAATGTTTCGAAACTTGTTCTTTATTCCTTCTTTGGATTTTGTTGTATTTCCATGTATCTATCATAAACTGCTTTGGGCTGCATATAGTTTCTGTCATAAGCTGCTTAATTGACTCTTTTCATTTTCCATGTGCACTTAGAAATGTCTGATAATATTAATTTAGCTTATTTTATACATGTGCGATGTGCCACACATATCTTGAATTTGATTGTGCAAGAAGGACTAAAGGTGATACAAGATAGTATTAATAATGAGTGTGACAGTGTCTTATATTGGATAGGGTCTTCAGGCAGAATCGAAAGGTTTGAAGAAGCTGCACGATTGATACATACTTCTTGTAACAAAAATACATACTTCTTGTAACAAAATATTAGAGTATGATTGCCTTATTCGGTGGAACTCAACATATCTAATATTGAGAACAGCTTTGGAATACAAAGATGTGTTTATGAAGTTGAGCCTAAGTGAGCTTAGTTATCATTGTTTTCCAACCGCAGGGCAATGGAGTGCAGCAAAAGAAGTTTGTGATACATTAAAACTTTTCTACCATATCACTGAAGAATTCTCAAGGACTCAATATCCCACTTCTACTCAATACTTATCTAAAGTTTGTAATATTAAGCTAGAATTGGAAGCATTGGTGAAAAGTTTAAATCCTTTGATTAGATCTATGACATCATCAATGTTGTTGAAATTTAAGAAATATTGGGATGAAGTACATAATTTGATAGGTGTAGCTGCTATCTTAGATCCGAGGTAGAAGATGAGGTTGGTGGAGTTCTATCTTACACATATTTATGGTGGAGAAGCTGCTTCAAATAAAATTCAAGAAGTTCAAAACTATTGTGTTGATCTCTTTCAAGAATATAAGAGTAGAGGAGCTGAGTCATCCCAAGCATCTAGTTCTAGTGAAGTTGTTGGTCATGTTGAGGATGACCGACTGTCAAGTTTTGAAAGGTTTATCGCGTCTAGTAGCTCGAACGTGGATACAAGATCAGAATTGGATTCTTATTTAGAAGAAAATGTGCTACCCCACACGCCATCATTTGACACTTTAAGTTGGCGGAAAACAAACGTATTAAAATTTCCTACTTTACAAAAAATGGCTCGTGACCTCTTACCCATTCCTGTCTCTACCGTTGCTTCAGAATCTGCATTTAGTACTAGAGGGAGATTGATTAGTCTGCATCGTAGTAGACTTCATCCTACTACTTTGGAGGCTTTAATGTATACTCACACTTGGTTATGGAATGAAATAAATGGTAAGTGATTTTTTCAATAATTTGTAATGTTAATAGTGATTTTCAATTTTTAATACTATATATGTTTCTATTTAGGTTTGGCTTCAACGGTCGACAAAGTTTCATGTCCAACATTACTTGAAGAAGAGGAAGAGCCGGGTTCAAGTGGTCGATAGAAGAGGAAGAGAATGTCATTTGTTGATAGATTTTGTTGAGTATATACCATTAGACCTTGTTGTCTTGCTGAACAGACTTTGTAGTTTGTTAAAGCTACTGCTCCTATGCCTCTTTAGATATGTTTTTGCTTCAACACTATGGTCTATGGTCCAACGTTGTTGGTTCTGGCATTGAGTTCTAATTCCGTATCCATTGCTTCAGCATCTCTTTTATTCTATTCCTTGCTTTTATTGCAATCTTTGATGCTTGATTGAATATAACAATTGATACTCCCACAGCAGCCTGCTCAATGGGACCTGTGTCGATAAATGTAGAGTTTATTCTGATGTTTCTAAACCTGTTTTACTTAATGTTCAACCTAATTGATGCTTTGCTTTTTCTTGGTTTCCTGGTTTCACTGTGAGTATATATGGTTGTTTTGTTTGCACCATCATCCATAATTTCATATTGTTGGTGTCCAAGAAAAATGTTCCTAATCGAATTCAGGACCTTCTCAGGCTGCTTGTTTTTTGGATTTCGTATCTACTGCTTGTTTCTTGTTTGCCTAGATGGGGTGAATGTATCATGTTTGTTGTTGCTAGTTTCACTATGACAAGAATTCAGTATGTTCAACTCTGTTTGAACCATTTTTCATTCGAGATTTATGTTGGACCACCAAAAGGAAATTTTCGGTTTGAGAAGCAAACTAGTGGCACTTTCTATATAGCATGTCCTGGTTAGATGGATTGGTTTCATTTTGTGGATTGCAGTCTCAAGCTGAACATCATTTGTTTCCAAGATTACCAATATCTCCCTTTGTGAAGGAACTCTACAAACAATACGGTTTACCTTGGGCATCATTCTTGAAGGCTAATGCATTGACATTCCAAAACTACAGCTTTGCAAGCGCGGGATTTAACGAAGCCTATTCTGAAAAATCTAGTCTGGGAAGCTATTAATACTCATGGTTGAGTGTTAGTTATGATATTGTTGATCTGTTCTAAGTTGTGCTTAATTTGATCTTAGTTTTGGAGGGGATCCATTTTAATGTCAAGAAAAGAAAATTTGTATTTATGTTGTTTGAAGGGCGTGACAGGTTGGCTTGTTAATTTTCCCACATGGGAAAGATTAATCTGTTGAATATTGTTAGAAAGATTGCGGTAGAGATGAGTATAATAGCAGGAATGGAACCTCAAATTGATGCTATCAGATGTATTTGCAATCAACTTTTTAAATTAGTTTTAAAGTATTGTTGCTAAAAATTTCCAACATCTTCTGAAAACTAATCTTTTGCTCTCAATTGCTTTACTTTGCGGAATCATAAATAGACGTAGAGATTTGAGAAAAACACAATCAGAATTGTAGTTGAGGGTGGAATTCACTTGTTCTATAGGTAAAATCACTAGATTTAGAGGCAAAAGATGGGAATTAAAGAACAATTTGGATATAATTAATTTTTTTGTTAAAAACATCAAATTTAAGTCTAACTTTCTAAAAAAGAAAGAATTTTTATAAATAAAAAAAAATTGCGGGTGCAGGGCAGGACGGGTGAACGCAGGAGGAGAGCGGGGCGGGGTGGGTTTAAATTTCACAGGTTCAGATTGAAACCGATCAGCACCCGCACCGCCCCGCACTTCTTGCCACTCCTAGGTCTCGGAGGGCTCAAGTGTATTTTGGATCACCCGGAGCTAAGTCCAAAACTACTTGTGTGCTGGTTCTAGTTTCCTTCTTCGTGAACGAGAAAGGACCCTCACGTTCACGATGAAGGATTTGGGGACTGGAAGCTTTTTCTCTTCGCGTTCGCGAAAGTGGGGCCGCATTCGCAGAGGGTTGGAATCCTTGGCCTTTGCATTCGCAACTGACAAGTCGCGTTCGCGTGGAAACCTGGGCCTGGTCTTGGGAACCTCCATTTCCTTTCATGTTTGTGAGGGGAGGCCCGCGTTTGCGATTAGTGGGCTGCTTAGTGCACCACGTTCGCGAGTTCCTTCTTGCGATCACGTAGAGTTATTTTCCTGGGTCTTACAGTTTAGCCTTCGCGATCGTGTAGGCTTGTTCGCGATCGTGATTAAGGCACAAACCTAGGCATAATGTTTTAAAAATGTGACTTAGGCCATTTTTCATTTCCTTAGCTGATTTTGGAGCTTCTTGGAGAGGAGTTTCACCTAGCTATTGAAGGTAAGTAATTCCTACCCAATGTGAGTTTAATACATAGATTATGGGTAAATTTTAACATATAAAGAAAATTATGGGTTTAGTTGAAAAAACTAGGTTTTGATAAAAATGGGATTTAACCACGAAAATAATTTTGGAATTGAGTGAAAATTATATATTTGAGTTATTGAGTTTATGGGTAACATTTATCTTCGGAAATTTCTGAATCCAGACCTGTGGGCCAGGGATAAATTTTAGGAATCTTCCAATTTGGGTTGGGTAATTATTCTAATAGCTAAGTTATGAACTTGTGAGCATATATTGATTAATTTATATAATATTTAGCTAGCTTCGGATTGTTTGGCACCAAGTTTAGGCTTTAGAACTAATTTGTAGGCTGGAAAGCGAGCTTTGAGATGAGGTAAGTCTCTTGCCTAACCTTGTAAGAGGGAATTTACCCCATAAGTGTTTTAAATTACTAATTGCTTTTATTTGTGGGGGCTACGCGCCAAACTGGGGAAGTGCGACCGCTGCTCAACCGAGTGGACCCGGTTGAGCAAGCATGTTAGACACTTTCTACCCAACTCACTTATGACCAAAAGAAGGCGTGTTTCCATTAGTTTAACAGTAGAATGATCATATATATAAACATTACTAATTCATTTCATTTTGCTACATCATTGTTAAGTTCCCAAAATACATACACTTTACAACTTAGTGAAACAAGAGTCCATAACACAACATAATCCGTCTGACCTTTCTAAAACCCATACACAACCCACATAATGTCTACGGAGCCTCTAAAGATACAAAAGATAGTTATGATAATTCTGGCGACAAGGCCCCAACCATACCTCAAAACGTGGTAAAAATATGAACAAGAGATACAATAGATGACCCCGAGATGAAATGGGGCTCACCAAAACCGCTGAGAAGAGGATGCACCACTAGTTGCGATCAACATTGTCTGCTATGGAACCACCTACATCCATTTAAAGATGTAGTGCCCCCGGCAAAAGGGGCGTTGGTACTATCGAATAGTACTATTATGTAAAGCTAAAACACCATCTTTGTCATGACCCCAAACCGGACCCGGTCATGATAGCGTCTCTCGTGAAACAAGGCCAGCTGACACAAACCGCCAAACCATTTAAGACAGTTATAATAATTGATTTTAAGTCATAAATAAACTATAAATCCCAAAATAAAGAGTGAAATAGAACAATTGCAGAAACAACACAGACCGACATTGGGGTGTCACCAGTCATGAGCATCTAAACATCCGTCTAAGAGTATGAAAAGACTAAATAGTCTAGTACAAAGCTAGTACAAGGAAAGTAAAGATAGGAAGGAGAAGCACTGGGCTGCGAAAGCCGAGCAGCTACCTAGTCAACTCCGAATAAGCCTACGGTGGAAGCAAATCAGCCCTCGCTAGCGTGGCCTAAGACTCCTGAATCTGCACATAGGGTGCAGGGAATAATGTGAGTACGCCAACTCAGTAAGTAATAAAAGTAAAGGCAGCTGAGCGATAAGAAAACACGTAAAACAAAGTAAAATGCTACAACGAGGCAGTATAAAACTAGAACAATGCAATAAAATAGTAAAAGCTCATAGAAACACCTTAGTTCAGTAAAAACCTCTTTAAAACATCTTTTAACAGTTTAAACGAGTAAATGAAAATAGGGAGAAAAGATAGATACATAAATCAGCCCCTCGGGCAAAATACCAATAGAATCAGCCCCTCGAGCTATCTCGCAATCACTCGTATCAGCCCCTCAGGCAATAACATGGAACAACATCAGCCACTTGGGCTATAACACATCTCACACTGGGTACCCGCGCTCACTGGGGGTGTACAGACTCGGGAGGTGCTCCTTACGGCCCAAGTGTAATAACAAGTCATCTCATGGCATAATCAAACAGGCTCTCGGCCTCATAGCAAGCCATCTGGCCTTATAATTATGAATCAGCACAATACCATTGTGGCGCACAACCCGATCCCATAATAACCTCAAAACACATGTGATGACCGGGCCAGTCGTCTTAAGAATTAATGCCCTGATCCCCTATTAACTGCTTTCCCCGAGTTTATTTCTGCTATTTCAATTTGCCGGGACGTTCAATTTTAAGTTTCGGAGAGTTTTGGGACACTTAGTCACTAAATAAGAGTTTAAGTATTGGAAAGTTGGTTGTAGTGAAACAGTGTGAAGATGGCCTCGGAATTGAAATCTGATAGTTCTGTTAGCTGCGTTGGGTGATTTCGGGCTTAGGGACATGTTCGGATTGTGTTTTGAAGGTTCGCAGCTAATTTAGGCTTGAAATGCCGAAAGTTGAATTTTTGAAGTTTCCGGTTCGATAGTGAGGTTTTGATCCGAGGGTCGTAATGGAATTCCGAAAGCTGAAGTAGCTCCGTAGTGTTGAATGTGACGTGTGTGAAACATTTCAGGTCATTCAGACAAGGTTTGATAGACTTTTGATCAAAAGCTTAATTTAGAAGATTTTGAAATTTTTAGGCTTGAATCCGATGCGAAATAGGTGTTTTGATGTTGTTTTGTGCGTTCCGAAGGTTGGAGAAAGTTTGAATGAGGTTATAGGACATGTTGGTATGTTTGGTTGAGGTCTCGAGGTCCTCGGATGAGTTTCGGGTGGTCAATAGTACCATTTCTTGATGTTTGAAGTTGCATAAAACTGCTGCTGTGTTGCAGACCAATTGTTCTTCGCGTTCGCGAAGGGTTAGGATGTGGAGCTGAAGGTTTGACCTTCGCGTTCGCGAGGGAAGTCCTGCGTTCGCGAAGGGCTGGGGTCTTAAACTATGCGTTCGTGATAAAGGAGCCACGTTCGCGATGGGCTGGGAGCTGAGCCTTCGCATTCGCGAAGAAGGAAAAATGGTCAACGTCAATTTGTGATTTGCTAACGCGAAACTTGACCTCGTTCGTGATTAAGGAATTGTTTGGGCAGATTTTAAAACCCAAAATCGAGGGTTTAAGCCATAATTCATATTTTGGACTTGGGAGCTCGGGAGATTGCGATTTTTAAAGAGATTTTCACCTGGGAAATTTGGGTAAGTAATTACTACTCGATTTAGAC